CCCCCGCCCCCCGGCTCCCTTCTGCCCTCCCCCGGTCCTCCAGCCCCTCGGAAATGTCATTTTCACGCTGGAAAAAAAGTTTGGGGAGCCGGCTCTCGGCGGAACGCAAGAGGTTAATGGGAGCCCTGTACCCCGCTGTCTCCCCCACCGAAATAAAATCACATTGATTTTTGAAATAAAAGTTTTCAAGAGCTGGATTGCTGAAAGACTGGAAGGCTTACTGGGGATATTCCTAGTGCCCCTGCCACCCCTCCCCAAAAAAACTAATGTAATAAAAGTTTGAAGAACTGGCCCCATGTCAGACAGGAGGGGTTAAGGGGACTCTAGCCCCCCCCAGCCAGATTGATTTTTAAAATAAATATTTGAGAAGCTGCTTTTATGTGAAATGCCAGTGAAACGGCTGTTTCTGCCTATCCTTGCCAAATTTATATACAAATATATATATATATATATATATATATATGTATTTTTTTTTTAAATAAAAGTTAGAAAAACTGGTCCTACAGGAAGACGAGGGGTTGAAGGTTAAGGGGTATTAGACCCCCATATTCCCCAGTCAGGTTGGTTTAGAAAAAGAAAATTTGAGAAACTTCTATGTGAAATAAAAAGTGAACCAGCGTATTCCTTTCCAACGCCCCAAAAGAGCCAGTTTTGTTATTTTGTTTTTTTAACTTGAGCAACCGCTTCCTTGTGACTTGGGAAAGTTTAAAAGGAATTTTTTTTTCCTGTTCTCTTCCCCATCCTCCTAAAAAATCAGATTTTTAAAAAATTGAAAGTGTAAAGGACCTGCCCTATTAGAGAGACAAAGAGGGATTACTGGACCCATCCTGCATCTCCCACTACTGACTGATTTTTGGAATAAAAATGTTAAGAATTGCTCGTCTATGAGATGTAAGGTGAACAGAAATCCTTCTTTGCCCCTCCCCAAGACAAAACTACAAGGGTACTTTTTAAAAATAAAAACATTGGAAATTAAGAGCAAACAGGTATCTTCTCTCTGTCCCCACCTTCAAAAATCAAATGTTCTTTTTTGTAATGTTTAAAGAACTGGAGCAATATGAGACAGGAAGGGTTACAAAAATGTTTTCCCTACAACCCTCAAAAAATGTATTATTTTTTAAATTTTAGGAAATGGAGGCACTGTGTAGGAGACACCTCCTTTCCCTAAAAAAATGAAACTGGGAATTTAATCCTATATGGGAGACATGGAATTCAGAAACACAACCCTTGACCCCTTTAACAAACACTCATACACAAGACATTAAGAGGAGTCTTCTGTCGAGGCACCATGGCTCACACCTGTAATCCTAGCCCTTTGGGAATGCCAAGGCAGGCAGATCATGAGGTCAGGAGTTCGAGACCAGCCTAGCCAACATAGTGAAACCTCGTCTCTACTAAAAATACAAAAATTAGCCAGGTGTGGTGGCACGCACCCGTAGTCCCAGCTACTCGGATGGCTGAAGCAGGAGAATCGCTTGAACCTGGGAAGCGGAGGTTGCAGTGAACTGAGACCACGCCATTGCACTCCAGCCTGGATGACAGAGTGAGACTCTGTCTCAAAAAAAAAAAAAAAAGAGGGGTCTTCTAATCACTTCCCCCAGACCCCTAAAAGTTGGAGATTCATTAAAATTAAAAGTGGCCATATTTCTCCCCACCAACCTGGCAAGTATGTCCCTAGCAGAGGTTTGGCAGCTTCTGCCGAGGCTGGTATGCACCAGGCACCAAGGGGAGTGGGGCAGCTTGTGGGGCCTGGCAGAGCTGGGTCCAGAGAGCCCTGGGCATACGTGCTGGCCGGGCAGCCCCTAGCCCACCTGCCCCTCATCCACCAGCTGGTTGGGGCCTTATTATCTGGAGAGATTCTCCAGGTTTGACGTCTGTCTGGCTCAATCCTTGTGTGAAGGTTTCTGGGCACCTGACTCAAGATTGGGTCCCCTCCACTGCCCAGTGGAGCCAAGCCTGATCTTAGGCCCTAGAGTAGAAACTAGATCTGAAATGGCATGGGGTCTCAGTCACCATGGCGTCTCAGTCACCATGGCTGAGAGCCGTATGGTACCAAGGCAAAACTCCTGTCCTAGGAGTCGGGAAAACTTGATGCAATAAATATTCATTTGAACACTTACTATGCGGCCAGGCACCTTGTATCTAGTAGGGCAGACACACACCATGAAGAGGAGAACTGTTTGCAGCAGCTCTTCTCAAACTCTTCTCAAACTCAAGTGATCCTTGGAATCACCAAGAGAGCCTGTTCAGATTGCTGGGCCCCACCCCGGAATTTCTAATTCATTTGGTCTGGGTTAGGGACCGAGAGGTTCATTTCTAACGCGTTCCCAAGTGATGCTGATGCTGCTGGTCTAAGGGCCGGCCACCTTCTTAAAACCTTTGCATGACAGTGCCAACAGCAAGGTGTTTGGTGCAGCTCGAGGAAGGGTCCTGCCCAGCCCGGGCAGGGGGCAGCGAAGATTCCAGGAGGGTCTTAATTAGATGGCAGGGTCTCTCTAGAGCACGGATTCTTAAATAGGGTCCTTGCATGGGTCTGGGGAACCAAGAACTACTCCTTAAGCAAATGTATCCCTGTATGTGCATTTTGGGGGGAGAAAATCTCCAGCTTTCCCTCAAGAGCATCCGGGATGGTCAACTTGGAATAATCCACAGCCTGTCTCCAGGCACCTCTGGCCTATAAAGTCTCGTGGTCCTTCTCAGCCGTCTTTTTCTGGAATCACTGCAAGCCCTTACTGTTTCTTCACCACCCATGGGTCCCAGGAGCTGGGCCTTCCATCAGCACATCCCAACTGTAGAGGTGTCTGCTCCCCAGAGGTCTCGGCCTTGGAGAGTGTGTCCTTTCTTTATTCTGTCCCAGATGGGCCATGAAGGGTATCCTTAGGGGGACAATGGCTGAGCTTGAAGTCATCCTGACAAAATCTAGTTTATAAATGAACCCACATATTTCCCAAACCACGGCTGGAACTATGCAGTCACCCAGAGCTCTGGTTTGTCTCCATTCGGGAATTAACTGAGGGTGCACTCACCATGTGGAACTTTTGGAGTGTGCTGAGGACCTGCCCAAGAAAGTGACTAGGTACTGCACGAGGTGGCTGTGGTCCCATCAGGTGCACTGTGGTCATATCTCAGCCCCTCACTTTCCAGAGCAATGACACTGGGACCAGCATGGGGAAACCATGAGAAAGGGAGGACCCCCACAAACACCAGAAGGCAGCACTTGGGGAGGGGGGTGTGTGGGTGGAGGAGCCAGCGTATTTTGTGTGAGCCCAGGGGACAAGACCAGACCTGCTCTATGATGGAGCAGGCTCCGTGATACTGCGTTGGAGAAATGACCATTGGTCAGGGCTGCAGAAGAACAGCTACTCACATCAGTGGAAGCATGGTCCTGTAGGGACCCCCAAAGGCTCTCCCATCTTCTGAGAGTCTATGGTTCAACTTGGCTTTCCTAGGTTTACCAAATTCTGGAAAAGTGTTACTTTTTCCATGCCTAGCCCACTGCCTCCAGAACTAGAATTACTGCATCATTTTAAGAGTCCAGCCCCTGGCATCAATTCCCAGGTTCACCTCCGGCTCTGGTCTTCCTCACCTGTGGTGTGGTCTCAAGGAAATGGCTCAACTTCTTGCCTCCATGTCCTCATCTTTAAAATGATGCTAACAGTTTTATCTACCTCATAGGGGTGCTCTGAGGATTAAATGTTGTAACATGTGTGAAATCCTTAGAAAGTGTCTCATGTAGAGAAAGTGCACACATCCGCCAGTGGAATCTCCCCTGCCCCTCACTACCTGGGTGATCCTGGCCTCGGGGCTTCATCTCTGAGCCTTAGTTTCTGTCTTTGAAAAATGGGGATTCTAAAACCTAGCGGTCTTATCAACACTTTTTAGTTGTAACCAATAGAAAATAAATCACCCTAAACTAAAGAAAAAAAAAAGGAAAATGTGGCTTTATTAAATTAGAATGTAGATCACAGTATCCAAGGGCAATAAATGAAACAAAGCCTCAAGAGGATTTGGAGCCAGGAATTAAAAAATTTCAGGACCTAGGCTTTCTCCCTCCATCACTCTGGACCACAGATCTCTTGGCATCTCAGTCCTAACTTCTCCCTCCTTCCCACCTTCTCTTCAGGTGGGGTGCCGTCTCTGCTTCCCCAGGCACGAAGTTAAAATGGTCAGCATACCATCCTCTCAGTGCAGCAGGTGGTGACCTGTGTCTCTGCCCTCAATCCAAATTCAGGAGAGAGAATGGGACGGGTCAAGCTTGGCTCAGGTGCCACCAGGAGCTGATCCTCTACGGCCAGCGATGGCAGGGTCACAAAACACACAGAGCCTCTTGAGACCCAGCCCTGAGAGAAGGGAGGTGGGGAGCTGAGCAGACCCCTCAGATGTTGTTCCTCATAGAGCACTGTGAGCGTTTTGAGACTGGGACTGGGGACGGGACTTGGAGACACACACCAAAGTTGCACTTCTTTGTGCTAGAGTCTGGCAACATTTGGGAAACC